TGGATTTGTGGGCACAATCTGACAAGTAACGCAATGGTATCTCTGTGATAAACAACCGCTTGTTATGCCACTGTCCGGGCAGGAAACAGAGGTGGTTTGGTAAAAAACAGCCGCTTTTTTTGGCACTATCTCCGTTGGAAAAACAGTGATGTCTCGGTTAAGAATAACCTCATTTGTGGCACTATCTCCACTGGAAAAACAGCAATGTCTTGATTAAAAACAACTGCTTTTTGTGGAACTATCTCCATTGGAAAATTAGTGATGTCTTGGTTAAAAACAACCGCTTTTTGTGGCACTATCTCCACTGGAAACACAGTGATATCTTGGTTAAAAACAACCGTCGTTGTGGCATTATCTCAGCTAGAAAAACAGTGATGTCTTGGTTAAAAACAACTGCTTTCGGTGGCACTATGGCACTATCTCCGCTGGAAAAACAGCGATGTCTCGGTTAAAAACAACCACTTTTTGTGGCATTATCTCAGCTAGAATAACAGTGATGTTGCTAAAAACACACCCATGTTTGGGGGCTAAAAAGCTGCAAGAAATTCAGCAATGACAAGGCAAAAAACTTGTTTCGAACAGTTGTCCGCAGCTTAGCAGACGTCTTGCCTAAAAACAACTGCTTTCGGTGGCACTATCTCCGCTGGAAACACAGTGATGTCTCGGTTAAAAACAACCGCTTTTGTGGCATTATCTTCGCTGGAAACACAGTGATGTCTCGGTTAAAAACAACCGCTTTTTGTGGCATTATCTCTGCTGGAAACACAGTGATGTCTCGGTTAAAAACAACCACTTTTTGTGGCACTATCTCCACTAGAAAAACAGTGATGTTGCTAAAAACACACCCATGTTTGGGGGCTAAAAAGCTGCAAGAAATACAGCAATGACAAGGCAAAAAACTTGTTTCGAACAGTTGTCCGCAGCTTGGCAGACGTCTTGCCTGGGTCTCGCCATCTGCAATTCCCTCCACTTCCTGATGAAAAAATCAGCTCATATACATATAATCATAGCTACATCACTTAAGAAATGCTAATGTGATAAGTATCTTACTGCAGAAATGTACAATACCAACATTTACCTCTGGCAATTGGGCTGTCCCAAGAGTTAGATGAGAAGACTGACTAATACCACTCTTACGTCTGTATGGTAAATATGAAGCTGGAGCCAGCAACTGATGCTTTGAGCACCCTAAGCCGAGTGCCATCCAGTTCCATTATATTGGAGAGAAGGCAGACATCTCTACAGCTGATATCTCCAACACTCTACAACGCACACCAAAACAATCTAGACTGATAAATAGAACTACAGGGAAGAGGGAAATATGTATTTTAATTTGGGGCCAAACTGTCCCTTTAACCAGTCAGGCCCACATATTTCAACAAATAAAGCTTTTGATATTCAGTGCATTTAAACATGGAGGCAACTCTGCTGACTGTTTGTGCTGTGTTTGTCAGTTCTGGTCTGTATTCGTTTAGCCAACAGCCACTTTTCCACAATAAACAGCCTCGGGCAGATCACACACATCTAGCTAACAAGAGCATTGACTCGCCATCAGTGTGGTCTCAGAAGCCTTCACTTGCTCTTTGAAGTTGGAAAAACACCCACGAGAAATCAGTTGTAAGGTGAACAAAGATGCCAAACAGATTTAAATGAAGGCTGAGGGGACAACAAAACACAGACCTACATGGAGGTTTACGGCTTTCTGACCCCTCCCAGATAAACAAGAATGACCTGACCTGTTTGGTGGCGGGGATGATACAACACTTTTGTAAATGCACTCTGGCTGGGGGAGAAAAAAACCGAGGCGAGCAGGAAGGCTAATAAAGCCACATTTCTAAGCATGATCATTCTAAATAATAGCCTCCCTTGTACTTTGGCTGAGGTTTGGGCTGAGAGGAGGGTGGTCATGGGGCTCCCCAATGTGATGGCAATGCACTAATCTGCCCTGTATGGCCCATTCACATGTGTTCACACCATTGTTTCCACATTCTAAACAGGAACTACAATGTTGCTCAAGGGAATTGTAAATCTGGTGTGCAGAAACCCTTTAATTCCTCCTCTTATTTAATGTCCTTGCAGCCTCATCACTTCTCGTGCTTGTTGTCTTTAGTACTGGGATGTATTAGAAAATAAAAATGATATTTCAGCTGCAGCTGTTAAAGCTCCCACATTGTAAAGAGTCCGATTTCTATGTCGTTATCAATATAAAGCAGGTAAAGGTGCTTTGTAAATACAGCGTAAGTATCAAAATGCTCAATCTACAGAGAAATACACAGTCCATATTCAGAAATGTCTTTAAACGAGCCATTGGGACTACTATGAAGTTGTGATGTCACAGTTATGCTGTTTTAAGGTATAAAGTGCCTCTACAGTGCCATTACAGTCATTCCCCAACTCAAAGGACGTCTCAAACGAGACGCCAATGTGGAAGACCTGGAGACACTGACCAATCAGGGCAGACTGGGCTTTATCTGGACAGGACCTTAAAGAGACAGGCGCTGAAATGGAGTGAATACAGGTATATTTACACAGACAGTATGTGAAGAAAGTTTTTTTGAACATTAAAGGATGTAAACATGTTCCAGTGGAAACCCTGAGTACAAGTATGAACCTTAAAACAAGCATATTATAGGACCTTTAGGGGCTATTTGTTACTTATGAAGGGGGAGGTGTTAAATAACGTTTTAAGCACTGATAGGAAGTTATGGTTTTTATTTTGGCTATTTTGTTTTTATGTTACCGCCAATTTTTAAAGAAAACATGCCCTCCAAACCTGCATGTTTTCTTTAAAAATCGACAAAATTACACCACTTATCATAGCCAGACACTGTAAAAACAGGAATTATGGTTGAATTTTCATATTTCCTACGGTCCTTGGACACATCATGTGTAACGAACACTTACATTAGAAAGAACAAAACAACCAAATCTAAACTTGAAATCGTGATATTTCATCAGAATCACTTTATTCTACGTTTTATTTAAAATTTTAGCGTTCTTTAAAAATAAAGTGCTAACCAGAACTAACCAGAATGCACAACAAGAGTGGAAAACCAAGGCTCGTTTCAAGAACTTTATTCTTCGACTTTTAACTTTCAAACATCAAAGGGTACATTAGGGGAAGATGCCCCCCTTTAAGAACAAAGTCAATAATCTATAAAATTAAAAAATATTTGGATTTGATTTTAGCATGTGCAGGATAATGATGCATAAACCAGCACAGTAGTACGAGAAATAAATTGGTAGAGTATTCAATTTTGGTGTTATAGCACAAAAATTAAAATCTTGTAAAGGGTACAGGGCTCGAAACTTTTTAACTAAATAAAACAAATTAAAATCCCAACCCTGACCCACTGATGAATTATCTAGACTTGTTGCCTTTCCTTTAGGCTAATGGTTTTTATTTCAGGATGTCTTCCTCCACCAATCTAGCTAAAACTGTTGGCTAATTCTTGACCGCTAGCATTGCTAATGATAGCTAGCTACAATGCTATACTACTACTGCAATATGTAGATACGAATTATTAAGTCACCACTAGATTCTCTAACTGAATAATATCTTAAGGCGCCACATTTCCAATGCACGATTTATACTTCTGCTTCGAATCGACACCGTACCCTACGCCATAGCCTAACGTGCACCTCCCCAGAAATGTAGGTACACGTCATGGCGACGCAGACCTCCTGTCTAATTTTGGAATTCAGAAAACATCACATTGTGAGTTGTAATGGAGCTGAATTTTGTAACGTTGCCTTTGTTAAATGTTGCTGTTGTCCCTGGCTTCATATGAGTATAGGAAAAGTCCGCTAGCTGCTAGGCTAATTTATATGATGTAAAATGCCATAGGCTTGTGCTAAAAACATTAGCATGTTGTATTTGTGGGGAAAATGTGTCCAGATAAAGACAAGTGTTTGTCTGTGAATGCTGCGAGTTATAGTGAAGCTGATTTGTGCACTTGTGTTTGAAATTGTCTCTATTAAGCCATGTTTAATGTGTGTTTAATGTGTGTTTTGAATCAACTAAACTTTACAGCACTTAGCACTGACTAGTGTTTTGGAGGTGTAACTGCAGCAGACACACCACCGCACGAGTATAACTGTCACAACGGTGTGGGGCATCTTGCCCCAAGGGTCTTATTTTACGTTTTTTCTTTAAAGGAGAAAGTTCTTTCTTCTTTTAAGATAAATTGAACGAGTCTCCCCACAAATCCCCCATCATCATATACATACACATACCAAAGCTTTTCATGTACGACTTAAAATAAATACATAGATCACTATGTTCTAGTGACAAAAAATTCCATCGGTTTACCCTTAAATGGTTCTGATGGAATAAATATCAAATGAGAGTAGTTTTAGTGCCATACACTGGTTATGAGATGAATTAAGGGGGTGGTAGCATCGAAACCCATCTTACCCTAAATATTAAAAATCAAATAAGTAATAGGCTATATGGTGGAGGGGTGGTCATGCATTTTCTGCCAGTCACTCAGGAAGGCTCAAAACATATATATTTGTAGCTCTGGGGTGGGTAAATGAATAAATAGAGGACACACACCCTTCTGTGATAAGTAAAGAACAGTCCCTTAATGCTTGAACACTGCAGAGACACCATGAGGAGACAGGGTACAAACTGTAAGATGTGTGTGAGCCTGGGAAAACCGAGGGTTTCCTCACCACCAGCGCTTTTTTTTTCCTCCAACCCGACCGGTGCTGTAATTTATTACCCGGTAAACACGTGGGAATAGTATTTCAGCGCCACAAGATAAACAACTTCTCCACTTCAACGCACATCTCGCGATAGGGGACGCTCCCTCTGTGCTCGCCTATTGTGAGAGTTTTCCAAGCCTCGCGCGATCTCGGAAGTTTCCCACGCCTGTTGTTGTGGCGTCTGCCCTTTTCGCTCTCTCTCTCTCTCTCTCTCTCTCTCTCTGTCTCTCTCTCTCTCTCTCTTGCTACCCGCCGCCTCCCCTTTCTCTCTCCGTCTTCCTCACCCACCCCCTTTCTCTCCGTCTCCCTCGTCCCTACACCTCCAGTCTGCTTCTGTTGTCTCGGCGGATTGTTGGGCTGTGGGAGAGAAAGGATATCGCGAGTATTGGAGTTTTGGTGAGAGTTTGTGGAAGATGGCGCCTGTTGTGACAGGGTGAGTCTGAGATTCGGGGCTGGCGGTGGGGAGCGGAGTTGAGCAGAATACAAGTTATTGCTATGAAACAGCTTAATGTTAACCCATGTGATGTAGCCCGGGCACCACACAGTGTTTGAGCTTCTCCTTTACTCTCTTCAAGTCGTTTCTTTGTCTGAGTGTGTGTTTGCGTGCGAGTGTTTCCCCCTCTCTGACCAGTTACTCTCCTGAGCTGACTGTTGCTGCAGTGTTTTGTGAGCTAGCCCCAGCTAAGCGATACTTCACCCTCGGTGGTCTTTTTTTTCCCAGACAACGGCGAGCTGTGAGCTAGCAGGCTAGCCAGCGAGCTAAACACAACCAGTGGGGCATGTTGTATTTTAGTAAACACTTCCTACCCAGCGTGTTTATCCCCAGACTACACTGAAAGCTTGTGTTTAATCCCTGGTGTTGTATTTGTTTTCGAAACGTGCTCAGCAGTTAGCCGGGCAGCACGTTTGTGAACTGGTTTCAACACAGCTAGCTGTCCGATAATGGACGTCAGCTAGCGAGAGCTGACTGAAACACGTTGCGGCTTTGTGAGCAAGGCATCCCCTTTGGCTGTGTTTTTAAAATGTGGACTGTGTTTGCTGGATAGTTTTCGCTTCAATCTCTAAGCTCAGAGCTACAACACACAGTGGAGAGGGCGTACTTTTACCACTTCAGCTCCCTGTAAGGGAAATAGTATTTACTACTCAGACAGCATCTCTGTAAGCAGGTTGCTAATGAAAAGTCAAACCCAACACTGCAGTGCATCTAAGGACAGAATTCACAGCCATGTGTGCCACTGTGCTTAAAACTATCGTCATTTAAAAATGTCCCAAACATTTCTAATGCTAGAACATTGGATCCAGTTTCTAATGTGCAGTCTGCTGATGGTGAAAGTGATGTTTTCAGCCCCCTAAATTAAAGATATTTTCCCTGGTGAGCTTTGAATATCAGAGACCAGCTGTTGAAGTCTTGCCATACCTTTTTTTCATAGTCAAATTTAGAGTTTAAATTAAAATGTACAAATTTAAAGGAGGTAATCAGGCTTGGTGCATGTCCTGTAATTGTTACTAAACAATACACATGTAATAAATATGTCAGTATTTTTGATGTGAACATAGTCTTTGTTAATATTTTCAAATTGATAGTAAGGGGATATATTTCCCCATGAAATGTTGACTTCAATAATGAGATCTTAATGAGTATAGCTACCACATACAGTTAAAAGGGTGTACTTGTATGACTTCCCTGTAAGTGGGTGACAATGCAAGAAAATAGTATTTCCTACTCAGGCAGCATCTCTGTAAGTAGGTTGCTAATGAAAAGTCAAACCCAACACTGCAGTGCATCTAAGGACAGAATTCACAGCCAGGTGTGCCACTGTGCTTAAAACTATTGTCATTTAAAAAATGGCAAAAATCTTTTAAAATCCCCAAATTGTAATGTAGTTTGTCATGTACAGTCTCCTGATGATGAAAGTGATGTTTTCTGCCCCCCAAATTAAATATATTTTCCCTGATGAGCTTTGAATATCAGAGAACCAGCTGTTTAAGTCTTGCCATACCTTTTTTCATAGTCAAATTTAGAGTTTAGATAGAAATTTACAAATGTACTTAGCACTTTGTGAAATGCGACGTTGGTCTATATTTATATTTATCTATCAGCACTAGCACTTATAACGGAAATACTTGAAATATGTGGTTTATGGGCATTGTGCAATAACTACAACATTGAATTCTATGTGGACTCAGTTAATTACTGTTGTTGTTGTTTATTGTCTTTTTTTAAACATCCAAATGGGCACTGTGCAATAATTTAAACGCACAGTATTTTATATGGACTCAAATTGTACTTCATGACTGTTGGCATTTATATATTCATGTCAGCATCTGCACTTTAGATTGATAGTAAGGGGATATATTTCCCCATGAAATGTTGACTTCATTAATGAGCTCTTAATGAGTATAGCTACCATGTACAGTGAAAAGGGTGTGCTTGTACGACTTCCCTGTAAGTGGGCGACAATGCTAGAAAATAGTATTTCCTACTCAGACAGCATCTCTGTAAGCAGGTTGCTAATGAAAAGTCAAACCCAACACTGCAGTGCATCTAAGGACAGAATTCACAGCCAGGTGTGCCACTGTGCTTAAAACTATTGTCATTTAAAAATGTCAAAAACCTTTTAAAATCCCCAAAATTGTGATTCTCATTTGCAGTCTGCTGATGATGAAAGTGACATTTTCTGCTCCCAAAATTAAATGTATTTTCCCGGAACTAGCTTGACAGAAGTCTTGATATACCTTGTTTCATAGTCAACTTTAAAGTTTAATTAAAATCTACATATTTAAAGGAGCTTGGTGCATGTTCAGTAATTGCTACGAAATAATACACATGTAATAAATGTCAGTTTTTTTATGTGAACATGGTGTTTGTTAACATTTTCAAATTGATCATGACATTTACAGTAAGGGGATATATTTCCCTATAAAATGTTGACTTCAATAATGAGATCTTTAAGATCATAGCTACCACACACAGTTGATAGTGTGTACATTGCAAATTCAGTTTCCTATAAGTGGACGACAGAGCTGGGAAATAGTACTCACTACTCAAACAGCGATCTGCATCTCTGTAAGCAGGTTGCTGATGGAAAGTCAAACCTAACACTGCAGTGCATCTAAGGACAGAATTCACAGCCATGTGTGCCACTGTACTTAAAACTATCATCATTTAAAATGCTTAAATCTTTCAAAATTTGATTCAGTTTCTTACTTACAGTGTGCTGATGTTGAAAGTGATGGTTTCCGCCCCCTAAATTAAAATTATTTTCCCTGATGAGCTCCAAATATCAGAGAACTAGCTACTTAAGTCTTGACGTTATTTTAATAGAAACACAGTCTTTGTTAACATTTTCAAACTGATCATTAAATTGATAGTACAGGTATATATTTCCCCACAAAATGTTGACTGCAATAATGAGATAGTTTTCGCTTCACTCTCTTATCTCTAAGATTGTAGCTGCCACACAATGAGTGGGATGTACTCTTACAACTTCCCTGTAAGTGGACGACAATGCTGGGAAATAGTATTCACTACTTAAACAGCGATCTGCATCTCTGTAAGCAGGTTGCTAACACTGCAGTTCACCTAAGGACAGAATTCACAGCCATGTGTGCCATTGTGTTTAAACCTGTCATCACTGAAGATTGATCCACAGCTTTCCAAATCCAATAATTTGATTCAGTTTCTCATTTGCTGTTCGGTGTGATGATTATAAACGTGACTGCCCCTAAGAAATTGAACTTATTTTCCCTGATGAGCTCTGAATATTATAAGTAACTGGTTAAGTCTTGACATACTCAATTTTTTATGTCTGAGATGGTTAAAATTTCCAAATTTGAAGGAGTTCATTAGTCTTGGTGCAGGTTCAGTAACTGCTACTAGATAATATACTCGATAAGTGTGTAAGCCAAGGGTTATTTATTAGACTTAACATTTAAAAAAATATCATTAAATTGATAGTTAGGGCATATATTTCTGCATAAAATGTTGACTGCAATCATTAGACAGTTGTTGCTTTAATCTCAAAGTGTAGAGCAACCACATACAGTGAATAGCGTGCACTTTTATGACTGTACATTGCTGGAAAATAATATATAGGCCTACTACTGAAACTCTGTAAATAAGCTGCTATTTGGAAACTCACACCTTACACAGCAGTGCATCTAAGGACAAAATTTACAGACGTGTGTGCGACTGTGTTGAAACCTGTCATCACTGAAAATTTGTGCTAAATCCCGAAAATTCGATTTTGTTTTTCATTTACAATCTAATAACTTGAAATTATTTTCCCTGATGAACTCTGAATATTAGATAAGTAGCTTTTAAAGTGTTGTTTTTCTGAGTCAAATTTAAAGTTTTTATCTTTTAGATGGTTCAAATTTCCAAATTTAAAAGGCTCAGTGCACGTTCGGTAATTGCCATTTAAAAAATGGTAATTAAACTGATAGTTAGCAGATATATTCTCTCATAAAGCAGAGCAGTGCTGCCTTGTTTATAATTTTTTTGTGGCCATATTCGTCATAAATAGCCCGGTGTTCCCGTGAGCTGATTGTCTTTACTGTTTTGGTCTTTCTGTGGCGTAAACCCTGATTAAAATGATTCGCCTGTACCATTAGCTAGACACAAACCTATTTTTTTGCACTCTCGAGGCTATAATCTCCACAGACAGCTCAGTGGGTGACAGACATTTGCTGGGCTTGTTGGAGGTGTGTGCATGTTGGAAGGAGATGGGGGGGGGGTTAGTCTGCTGTGCATGTTCATCTGGGGCTTTCCAGCAGACCTGAACTGATTTCAGTTGCGGGGGGAGGAGGAGGCAGAGGGAGGGAGCTAGAGGGCAGGCGGGTCAGGTCTGGGTGGCTGGCCACCTGTCCAGATGATATCTCCAGATTCATGTGTGTGTTTCTGAGAGTGGGGGTCAATGTGTGTGTGTGTGAGAGGAAGACGGGGCGGGTGTGTGGGTGAGAGAGGTTTAACAGAAAATTAAAGTGCCATAAGGGGTCTTTCTAGCTGGTGGCAGGCCATGTTCACAGTAACGGTCAGAGGCATCTCAGAGCCTGACCACAGCCTCATGTACTGTTTGAATGGCTCTGGCTTTACACAGGGAGGGGCTCCTCAACCACAGGCTTGTTAATGGTATTATGACTCTCTTGTAATGGCATCACAGAGAGGTTGTGGTTTTCTGTCTTTGAATTAATAGTCGCACTGACTTCACTGTCCCTTAATTTGTGAGTTGCACTCAGAGACATTTGTGTTGTTTTTCTGCCTAATTTAGTCTGCTGCCTGGAAATGTATTTATCAACAGATAATAGAGGATAATCAGGTGTGTGTTTGTGTCTGAACACAGCTCTCACTGTGGTGTTTGATACTGGATGTGCATGATTGCAGGTGGCAGTTACTAATTAAACTGGCAATTCACAGTAAATGTTTGCTTTTAT